TCAAGGTGCGCATTTGTGATCAAAATTGTGTAATTTTTAAGACTTTTAATCGACAAGTCTGCAAAATTATGCCATTTCGACTAAACACTTACCTTCAGCCAGCATCTTCTCTGCGATTTCTGTAGCTGTTATCTGCTAATGCAGAGCTAATGCAGCACTTAAAATAATTTTTGATGTCTTTGAAAAGAGAATGATGAAATAAATGAATGTCAGGCGCAGTTTTGTGTTCATTCTAGGGTAAATACTGGTGGTAGAACTACAAGAGAAAAAGTTTGTTTAATTAAAAAAGGGATATTAAAAGTTGAGAAAAAGTTGTAGCAAGTGCATTTACTTCAGGAATCACGAAACCAAATTCGTTGATATGTGTCCTCTTTGCAAGATGTCAAGCCTTTAAAAGAGATTGCCCCAAAGTACTAGCAAGCATTCTAAAAATGGTGCTTTAGCATTACGATATTTTCCTCATATCTTTAACTCACTACTTACTTCATAACATTAATGAGTTTCATCCCAAATGCTCTTTAGGTGGTACTGTGATAGCAACGCCAAGATTCCAGTTTTGAGAGGTTAATGTTAAGTAATTATTGACGCTGAAATGAAGTGTCGCTTAATGAGACCACCAGTGTTTGGTCAGGTCAACATTTCACGGATATGGTCGACCTGGAACCGTGCATTATTGAAGGTGTCCCAGTTTTTTTGAGCTGATAGCTCGTTGGTAGTTTGGATTGATCGATTGTACATCATAGCAAAAGAAATGGCAAATGCACCCGCCAACGGCATATATGGATTTCACTAAAAAGTATAGAATGTTATTATCTTCAAAAATTGGAGCATCAACTTCTTCCAAAGCGAATCTGTTCACGTGCTACGTTACATTGGGGAAAACCTGTCATATGCAAATAAATTCAATGCACATTTCTTGTTACTTATGCCATCTCTTGCCATTTGACGGTTTTTTCCCATAAATCGCTATTCAACAGAATCCAAAAATTTACCTCCACACTTTCCGTGTAAGGGTTGTAGCGGACCACAAAAGGACGATTCATGTTGCTAGTGAACATTCTATAATGAAACTTCTATTTTTACTTACTCCAAAACTCAAACGAGTACCTGAGCTTTTGCAGGGCCTCCTCAAAACTTTTGGTGTAGAAATAAGCATCTTGGAATGTTGTAATGAGACATTCTTGCTGCACAACACGATCTGGATCAAAGCGTAGAATGGTCGGCTTGTCTTCAACAGCATGCTTAATACACTGTATTTAGTAATTCCTTTACCTAAGTAGGACAGCCCGAATCTGCGCGATGGCTGTGTTATACATACTTCGCTTCCTACATTTGATAGAATTTGTTGCAACTTTGAACAATGTTTCAGTATTCTCCATAGGCCATTGAATGTTGCTGAACCATATTGAAAAATATGACGCTTTACAAAAAAGTAATCGGATGTTCGTTCCCGCTCCCCCCTCCCTCCTCCCATTTACGCTTTTTTCCAAGTTTACACGTAAGTCAATCAGTAAGATGGTAGCAGGAGACTGAGTATAAGTATGGACTTGATTGCAACATAGAGGAGTATCTGGCAAATTCCCAACTCCGCGTTTCCCATCTTTTCTGGACCATTTCGATCGAATGAATACGAATACCAGCTTCAATTACAGTAGAATCGTAAGAAAAAGAGATAACGGGCTTTATTTGGATTAACAGGACGAGTGGCACAAGGGCAATCTCAAATTTTTGACTTTTTGTCCCGACAAGATCGTATGCCTTCCACACTAAAGAGTTGCTTTTAGAGAAGCCAAGCGCGGGGTTTTGAGAAGGAAATGATGAGTGTGTGAAGTGACCTAAAAGAGGTGGGCTGACGTCCGGAGCGGCTATCTCGCTTACCAACACAAATTATTCGCGTAAATTGAGGGGAACACCTCAGTCACGGAGTTGTTGTCATTGTCTGATAAGAACTATAGAACCTTAGTGTTGCTCGGAAAATGCCTCTAAGGTATCTACATATATAAAGCACAATCTCTGTGTGTGTCTGTAGGTTTGGATGTTCCGAATATAAATCTTTGTTTCTGAACCGATTTGGACCAAACTTCTACACATACACTTTGGAGCATTGCGGAGAACGTAGGCCAGTTTATCCGGAGAAATATCGATTGATATTATCGATTCATTGATTTTTTCGCAGTTCTCGCTCTAGAT